GAAAGTTTTAGATTATTTGAGTAACATTATAATACTCAACCATCTGGGAAGTGAGGAACGAGGATGTTATCTTGTGGCATAAGGTTTGAGGAGATACAGGAGTTAGTTCTGCTTTGACTTTGGAGGGGCTGGATATGTATTCTGGATTTTCAAAGACCAACTTAAGGCTTAGTGGACTTTGGGAAAGTTGAAGTGCTTGTGATTTTTTTTTTTTTTCGCCAGTAATTGTATAGCTCTCCTATTTGCAGAGAAAATTTGAGTCAATATTCTGGAGTAAACAATATCCTGTCTTTGCTAATACTCAAATTGACCTTTTATGTAATGCAGACATCATACTGCAAATAGACTAAAGTGAAAGTCCCACCAGCCAAAGATATAAGTAAGGCAATTAATCTCATCTTTTAGACATGCAAGTACTTGAAGATTAAAAATGAATTATCATCCATGTGAATTCATATTGTAAATCTATCCATGTTTTTTAGTGGAATATTACCTAAAACTATCTACAACGATTTGTTTGTTAGAGTGCCTATTTTGGTTGATATATTTGTATTAAGTATATCATATATATTCTTTAAGAACCAGCTGTGAAAACACATATTTCTATTCCATATTAATTGGCAGAAATATGATATACTGATGTTAATACTCTAACAATAAATAGGCTTTTTAAAGGAAAATTTAGACTTATGCTAATATCATTTCATTGTGATCAATATTCTAACATCTGTTGAGTCAAGACCAGAGACTTGTCTTTATGTTTTTAAGAAGCAGAGTTTAAAGAAGATTGATGTCAAGCAACATTAAGAAGAGTTGTGATATGCTATTAGATTCACATCATAATCATGTCCATGGCCAATTAGTCAGTGAAGCCAAAAAAATAACCTTTTTTTTTAGATAATTATCACATGACGGCTGAAATCGGATATAATGGTGCTCTTCATTTCATGACATAATTGAAAATTATGAAAATCTATATCATCCTTCATGATGCGACCTTGACAATGACATCATAAGTAATTATGCAAGGTCACCATCATCACATTGACTTGATATAGAATCATTTCAATATAAATGAGAAGTTACAAGTTATAGCATAAACAATACATAATCTGAAGTGAAAGTTGAGTTAATTTAGGATAGTCCATTTGTACATTTGTTAAATCAGGTTTGTTGTATAATAGAAGTTCTTATAACACAATTTAACCAGTAAACAATTTAAGTGTAATGTTTCGATGACAATTAACAATGTCACCTTGACACAAATGACCAGCATGAATTGTATTAGCACCCATTTAAGGATTGTACCATTCAGCTACGCTTGGTTTAACACTTGGTCACAGATGTGTGAGAGTGTGTGGCCCCATGATGGCCTTTGTTCAAGCACAAATATTGGAATTTAAAAATCAGTTGATTTAATATGATAAAGGTAGAAATTAATTGTGCAGAAGTTCATTGGTTTGACAAGGCATGAGTTAGCTATTGTTCATATTATTCATGGAACCTGATTCAACAACACTCTTTAGATCAGTGTTTTGAGCTTTGGATTTGGTTTATGTTTCTTTATATCCTAGCAACAGCAAGGGCCGCTAAGGGCAGTCTCCCCATGTATGTAATGTGAATGCATGTGTTGAATGAGGCTGTGATTTGTTTGTATAAACTTCCTGGTGATAGTGCTAACTAAAACTGATGTTATAGTGTTATCACAATGAACTATACTGCCAACAGTCTCAAGCAAGGCACTCCAACTGGTCATGTATTATACTGCTTTATTTATCTCCAAGTATATAATAATAATAATATATGTATGATCATCCCAACTTAATTTCCAGATTCTGACTTTCACCTCAGTTTATTAACTGGACATTGTTAATCATTTTTGCCATAAAGTTTTTCATTTCACTTGGTGTTGAGCTTTATTTCTCTCTACATAAATATTTGTTTAATCCTTATGATATGAAGAAGTGACACATGAGACAAATTGTGTTTGATTGTTGTTCCAAGAATCTGTTATCAGCCAGACCCCAAAGCCTTCCTCACAAGGACAAACTCCACTAAATGCCAAAACTGAAGCAGTGTTAAAGGAGATATTAGGAAGCAGAAGGGTCTTTGGCAACGGGAGAAAATATAAAGGTCCCAAGTTTAGTAGTCTCTTACGATCATACAATGGGGGTAGCTGGTATAATTTTTAAGCTTTATCGGCACAGGGTTATCGCCATGAAAAATATTACAGATTAATGTGTTATAAATAGAATTCTACAGAATTTTTTAATCACTGAGATTTCCTGAAGGCCCAATAGAACACACCATTTAGAACAAATAGGGTAAAGTGTTTGACCCAAAGAACATGTCAGCTCAGACCAGTTCATTATAGAGAATCACAACTCGGATCTTTACCCGAGGCTGTATAGGCTAATGATGTACCAACAGAGCTATCACAAGAAAAACCCTACAATGAATGAACCTAGTAATGTGTGTTCTATACTACACTTTCTTTTTCATGGTTGAATGCTTTTCGGACATTTACAATTAGACCTATTCAGGATGCCACTTAGAATTTTACAATTGTATTTTAATCATAAATTGGAAGTTTTATGCAAATAAATGTATGTCTTATGTGAATTTTTCAGCAGCAGCTGCTGAAACAAAGACATTAACGTACTAATCAGTGATAGCATTATTATATTTCTGTTGATTTAATACTTTAATTGACAAGATGAGGGAAGTATTCAATTTCTCCTATAATATTACATTCACTTCATCAGCAGATTTTATCTAAAATCAATATCATTACAAGACCATCTGTTTGTTGATGTCGAGATGTGGTTTTTAAATGGAACTAACATGAACTTTATATTCAAGAAAACAAATGTTTCAATTTATTAATAATTTTATCAACAATAAAATTCGAACACTACATGATAATATGTATTATTATTAGTATAAAATGGCATTTAAATTATTGTCTAATATATACAAAAATGTATTTGCATTGTATCTTAATTAACAATTTACTTGCCAAAAAAGAAGACATTTGAATAAAGTGGCACATGTACCACAAGATTGCCTCAAATTTAGCACAGATAACGATTGGAAAATATTTTTAAAAAACATTACTTCGAGAATAAGTACCATATAAAGAGGGTGTTGAAGGTGTATAATCTTTATTTGTCATTTTCATTGCCTGTTGATCTAGAGGTTGTAGTGATAATTTTAAATCGCCTCTCAATTTATATAAGGAATGTTATCAATGGATTTACCCCTCAGTAACTACCATTGGTTATGGCTGAGTCAACTAGCCAAGTATAACTACCTCCAGCTCAAATGTTGTAAGTGTTTTCTAAAGTTTTAATTTCTTTTTGATTTGAAGGGAAAAGACTTTTTTTTTAAAAATTTTCGTAAATTTACAACTTAAATGAGAACATTGGTTTCAAATCAATATTTGGACTAACCTTTCAACTCTACCAAGCTGGTTAACAATTTTATTAGAAAGTAATTGTGAAAAAAACTGATGTTCTTCATGGTTATTTGATAAAAAAAAAACAGCATCCAATTTATATAAAAATCATGATTGTTTGGTTTAATTTCAATGATATGACAGAATTTTGATAACTGATGCCTGATTTTAGTTTTAAGAGAATTGCTTTAAGAAAAATCTCAGTATATAAACATGATTAATCAATGACTTTATCCTCATTTTAATGAATAATCTGCAAATCAAACTTAAATTTGTAAATAATTTTGTTATCTTCTATTAATGGCTTTTCTAGGGTCTTTGTGTGGCTATTTTTTGTTGGTTTTCATTATAATGTAACTACAAATTTTACATTTACCTGCCTCAGATTAATCTCACGTCATCATTGTAGGCAAAAGGTCAATATAGACATGTCAATCACTTGCTTAATATCTTAATCAAGATTAGGTATATGAATTGTTTGAAAGAGCAAAAAATCCAGTGTTGAACTAGCTGTTTTGCAATATATAGAAATCACATTACTGGTTTGTCAATCTGTCAATGAATAATTCTCTTTCAAGGGGTTGTTTTTAATACTTTATAGGTATCTTGGTTCATGTTTCACAAATTCCTTAGTTCGAAGTCACCAATGCTTGAAATAGCAATGAGGATCACCTTTGAATTGTTGGTTATAAAAACTTTGAAATTAAAACAGAGACTTACATACAATATTCTGTACTCTGAACAAGGTCGAAGTCACCATTTATCACTGCTGATTGGCTGAGGCTTATATGAATTGCCCTGTACTTAGGACAAGGTCTAGGTCACTATCGATCACTGCTGATTGGCTGAGGCTTATATCTATATTGTCCTGTATTTTGAACAAAGTCAAGGGTATGAAATAATTTTGGTTCAAAGAATCATGAGGAAGTTCATTTCAAAACCACTTCTTAGTGGAGAAATGTTTTTCTGGTACAATCCAACCTGCTACTTGTATATAACAAATATCTTCCTCTGAAGGTCACAATTTAATATGATCTGTCTCATAATCTTTATGCATAAGTTTGACTTTAAGTCTTACTGTATCAAACTTAATGCAAGGCTATGAACAATGCAAGTATTATATAGTGCAATCTGTGATTTGAATTGATAAAGAAAATATTTCAAGGTGTTGTCTTTATAACAAACATCATTGTTCTGGCAGCATAAGGGAGCAACTTGCATCCCCCTATTGGATGGAGCCATCTGCTTGGGTGTCAAAATTGTTGAGTACATTTAGAAGACGCCTCCTACACCTAAAATATATACATGCAACTCATGTAAACTAAACATCTGAAATTGAGTGTATTCTTTTGTATACAACTACTTCAGATGTTACAGGATACATAGGATTTTGTTGCACTGTATATTATACAATATTGGACGGGAAAATAAACTAAAATTCAAAAGGTATATATTTGATAATCCTAGCTGCAGTATTACATCATCCTAGATATACAGTTTTATAAAAAGATTTATAATTAAACTTAATATTTATGTTTTTCAGGCAACATCAATCCAGAGAACATGAATAATCATGAGCCGGGTGGGTATCGCCATGGTAGCACAGGAAGCACAGGCAGTTACCGTAGCAGCACCGGCAGCGTTAGTAACCCATCAACACCCACCAACACGCCCCTGGTCATCCCCCAACCAGTCAAGCCACCCATCAAGTCAGGCAAAACGTACCCCTGTAAGATGTGTGATCAGGTAAGATAATGTTCTGACTGATAGCTAGCAATGCCCAAACCTTCTTAACCAACATTCCCCAAGCATCTTCACTAGTAATCAAGAGTGACCAGAAATTCTGAACATTATTACAGGTAACCACAGGATCTCAAAACATTATTACAGGTGACCAGTAACCTCCAAACATCTTTGCAAGTAATCACAAGAAACCAGAAATTCCAAACATTATCACAGGTAACTACAGGAATCCCAAAACATTATCATAGGTGACCAGTACATTATCATAGGTGACCAGTAATCCCCCAAATTCTTTACATGTAACCAGGAGTAACTGGGATCCCCAAACATCCTTAAAGGAAACCAGCCATCCAACAGATATTTTCACATTATATCAACAATCCCTACACATTCTTTGGGTCACCAGAAATCCAATTTTCACAGGTGGCCAGGAATTCACAGATGTTCTTGCAGGTAATCAGAAATCTCAAACATTCTCATAGGTAATAGGGAATCCCAGACATCATTACAAGGTAAAGCTATCCCAAAGGAATTTTCACAACAAATGTTTCTCATACGATGACCTGTAATTCACAAACATTATCACAGATAATCAGGAATTCACAAACATTCTACATTGATAACCAGTAATCCACTAACATTGGAACAGTTAACCAGGTTATCCCAGATATTCTCACTGGTAACCAGGTTATCCCAAACATTATTACAGGTAACCAGGTTATCCCTAACATCTCCTCGGTACCCAGGATATCCCAAACATTATCACAGGTAACCAGGTTATCCCTAACATTCTTCCAGGTAACCAGGTTATCCCAAATATTCTCATAGTAACCAGGTTATCCCTAATATTCTCACTGGTAATAGGGAATCCCAAACATTCTCCCAGGTAACCAAGTTATCTGAAATATTCTCATAGGTGACTGGGTTATTCCCCAAACATTCTCACTGGTGACCAAGTAATTGCAAATATTCTCACAAGTAACAAGGTTATCCCAAATATTCTCACAGGTAACTAGGTTAATCAAAATATTCTCACAGGTAACTAGGTTATCCCAAAATATTCTCACAGGTAACTAGGTTAACAAAAATATTCTCACATGTATCTAGGTTACCCCTAACATTTTCACAGGTAACCAGGTTAACCAAAGTATTCTCACAGGTAACCAGGTTATTCCAAATATTCCATAGTTGACCAGGGTATCCAAAACATGTTCTGTTGAATATGGTCTTGTGTCATCCATTTATTACCTAAAAACAATATCAAAATCTGGTACATATTCAATCTTACTCAGATGTGTGATTTGTCTTTCGAAGCTTTTTTTTCTAGATTAAATTTGGTGGTATGATAAAGAACTTCCTTTCTGTATTTTTCTCAAGTAGTGTGGATATTATAAAAACAATCTGGATTTATGTTATATTAAATATGAGTATCCATCTTTTGTACTCAATTTTGATAATTAGCCATTTCCATTATAAATGTTTACAAATTACCTGATGTTAAGACTTTTTGTAGTACCAATTACACGTCTGCTAAAAGACCAGAATGCTGTAAAACTAGACAAACATAGTTCATTTCAAGTAAGGTTGTTCTGACCTTCACTAAGTATCCATTCATTGTTCTGACCTTCACTATGTACCCATTCATTGTTCTGACCTTCACTAAGTACCCATTCATTGTTCTGACCTTCACTATGTACCTATTCATTGCTCTGACCTTCACTAAGTACCCTTTGATTGTCATGACCTTCACTAAGTATCCATTCATTGTTCTGACCTTCACTAAGTACCCATTCATTGTTCTGACCTTCACTAAGTACCCTTTGATTGTCATGACCTTCACTAAGTATCCATTCATTGTTCTGACCTTCACTAAGTACCCATTCATTGTTCTGACCTTCACTAAGTACCCTTTGATTGTCATGACCTTCACTAAGTATCCATTCATTGTTCTGACCTTCACTATGTACCCATTCATTGTTCTGACCTTCACTAAGTACCATTTGATTGTCATGACCTTCACTAAGTATCCATTCATTGTTCTGACCTTCACAATGTACTCATTCATTGTTCTGACCTTCACTAAGTACTCATTCATTGTTCTGACCTTCACTATGTACCCATTGATTGTTCTGACCTTCACTAAGTACCCATTCATTGTTCTGACCTTCACTATGTACCCTTTGATTGTTCTGACCTTCACTAAGTACCCATTCATTGTTCTGACCTTCACTAAGTACCCATTCATTGTTCTGACCTTCACTAAGTACTCATTCATTGTTCTGACCTTCACTAAGTACCCATTCATTGTTCTGACCTTCACTATGTACCCATTCATTGTTCTGACCTTCACTATGTACCCATTCATTGCTCTGACCTTCACTATGTACCCATTGATTGTTCTGACCTTCACTATGTACCCATTGATTGTTCTGACCTTCACTAAGTACCCATTCATTGCTCTGACCTTCACTATGTACCCATTCATTGCTCTGACCTTCACTATGTACCCATTCATTGTTCTGACCTTCACTAAGTACCCATTCATTGTTCTGACCTTCACTATGTACCCATTCATTGTTCTGACCTTCACTAAGTACTCATTCATTGTTCTGACCTTCACTATGTACCCATTGATTGTTCTGACCTTCACTAAGTACCCATTGACTGTACTGACCTTCACTAAGTACCCATTCATTGTTCTGACCTTCACTAAGTACCCATTCATTGTTCTGACCTTCACTATGTACCCATTCATTGTTCTGACCTTCACTATGTACCCATTGATTGTTCTTACCTTCACTAAGTACCCTTCCGTTGTTCTGACCTTCACTAAGTACCCATTCATTGTTCTGACCTTCACTAAGTACCCTTTGATTGTTCTGACCTTCACTATGTACCCATTCATTGTTCTGACCTTCACAAAGTTATAGGGGTGACTGTTTAGGTCTAGAAAGCTGTCACAATGGTATTGTAAAAGTAAAATTACCATTGCAATATTATTGTGATAGTCCAGTGACTATCACAATCTTTTTTAACTTTGGAAGATGTTTCTCTAACCCAGAAATAAAGCAAGGTTACTAATTAATAAGTTAAATGTATCAGCTTGCTAAACATAGCAAATGTTGCAAATGAAAAATAAGTTATACAATTAAGTTTGTTGCACTGTGATATTTGTGACACTTTGTTTTATTTTTTATATTATTCATTTTATACATGATATGATTATCTGGAAAATTATCATTTGTTTCTTAGTTCTTGATTTCTATTATTTCATTTTATTAAGTAAATAGGTCATTTAAGTGATGTTGTGTTTATGATCCAAATGTTTGTGTAAGGATTAGGTAGAATTTTAAGTCATATTGATAGGATACAAAGGTCAACTGTGACAAATCCAGGTTGAATTCATGTTACAGGGTTCCTATGTTATGCAAAATCACAATTACTATTGATAGTAAGTTGTCAGACAGTGGTACTTATGTATAGGAGGGGAAGTATTCATGTTTCTTGTGACAGGAAAACAGTAGAGCTTAATAATAATCTATAAAACATTAAATATCCAGAGTTTATATAAGTTAGGTTTCATCAGAAAATGAAATATGAATGTGTAATATGTGCTGCTATGTCTGATAAGCTTTTTGTAACAGTTGAAACAATGTGACACCCTCTGTTATCTCACACAAACCAAAGGGATTTCTAATGAGAAACTTTCCAGAGTTATTTCCCTTTAATGTCATCTTTTGATCCAATGATATATAGATGAATTGACAATTCCATTTCAGTAACAATTGCCACAACCTTAGTATGCAAATACAGTACTTGCACCCACCTTTGTAGCCCAAAAACAAAAGATTAAAAAATCCCACCCTCCCTACAGACCCATGAGCCATTACAACGGAGACATAGAGTGATCTCACTTCTTCTCTCCTTTACACTGCCTCTATGGCTGACATGCTTCAGATGAGTTTTTCTCATTTTTTTTTTTTCTCAGTTGGGTTTGCATTTTTTATGCCCATCTACCCATTATTTACACTTTTTTTTTGCTTGCTTAATTGTTTTTGTGTCAATTTTCGACCCTTTGCTTTCTTCACGTGTCCAAGTGGTGTCCAGCATCATCCGCCATTATGGTTTTACCATCATCTTATTTGTTTATTTTTCGGCCTTGTTTTCAACTCTACAGTTATCGCATATCTGGAGAGACCAGGGGCACCAGGTCTCACATTCTTTGTGCCATTGCCATCCACATTCTTCATCTCTACCAGGAGGTAAAGTTTACAATTTTGGTCAAGCAACCTCCAGGCAGACTGAATGTTCTGGCAGACCCTCTCCAGGAGCCATAGCTGGTATTGACAGAGTGGCAGCCGAGTCCCTCCATTTCCAAGGTCGTTTGTCAGGTGTGGGACAAGCCTCTCATAGAAAGGAGATACATTTATCCGCATCTCTTTCTGCTCTTATCAGAGGCTTTGCTCGGGATAGGCCCAGGGTTCTGCAGTTAAACCAGCAGTGGAACCTGGCTATTCTTTTGGATTCCCTTATGCAGGCTCCTAACGAGATGTTTATTAATTTCCATGCGTTGTCTTCATTTCCTTCCTGCCTACACTGGTCTGCTGTAACTCTTCTGACTGATCCTTCCTTTCTTGTGAACAATAAGGCTCCTGGGTTCTTGCCCAATCCGATTCTTGCTTTGACTGGTCCCAAGGAGCATGTTAGATTGCTCTGTCCCCGTTGGGTGTTTACCTCGATAAAATAGGGGGAGCTTTCAACCCCCATCTGTTTTTGCCCATTTACCAAGGTCAACAGGATATCTCTTCTCAGTCCCTATAAAGATGGATTTGCCAGGTCTTCAAGTATGCTTACAAGCATTCAGATGATCAAGCTCAGGCAAGATTGAAGTTGCACACTCGAGAGGTTAGGGCCCTCACTACATCTTAGTTGTGCTGTGCTTTGAAATTGAGATTTTTTTTTAAAGTAAAACCAATCTTCATGATGTAATACTTACCATAACT